AATTATTCGCTGCTACTGTTTACATCTACATAGTCGAAGGAGTCCATGCTATAAATTTGAGAGGCAACGAAACACAAATAAAATATGCAGAATCTTCGTGTCTACAAAAGATGAAAAATAGTGATGACGTGACCGTTCACTAACTTTCCCGTATTTTACAAAACCCTCTTATTTCACTAGGCTGGCTGATAACATTATATTTGTATTTCATTCGAATAGGAAACCCAGGATATGCTCAAATATGTCGTAGACGAATTAGACAAACTTAAGGCATCTCTTGAAGAAGTTAGAGACATCGTAATAATGAAGACAAGTAGAAGACATGTAAGTTTGATTTTCTTTGACTAAACAATTAAGAAGATGGCTATGAGGCTAAGCGCGAAGAAGTAACCAAATCTCTAGCGTTGAAAATAAAAAAAGAGTAGCTAGATGTAAGACCAGGATAACTTAAATTTTGCTGTTTTTTAAATTAATAAAGATTGTGAAGATAGGTGGGATAAGTATATATATAATTATATAAGTATATATAAGTACATATATACACACATATATATATATATACATATATGTATATTAATCGTTATCGTGAAAATGGAGGTAGTAGTTAAGTATTATAGGTATGCACTTGCGTTTCATACTGAGTGTGATGGTTTTCATACTTTATATATTTTGGTCAGACTTTAGGGAAAGCGTCACGTAGTTCCCATTCTCTGATGATTTTTTTCTGTATTGCATTCTTTGTTGTTGTCTTCTAGATGGAATGGGCTTTTCACTCAGCCAGATTTGGAAGTTCAATACAGGGCATGTGGAAGCCAGCTAATGACAATCAAGCAGAATGGTAACCATTTTTCATTAAAAAACTTGAAATTTACTTAAACACAGTAAATATAACTACTGACAAAGAATGAAATATCTCTTAAAATATATTATGTTTATGTTCCGATAAACGACGTCAACCTTGTCTTGTGTTCGATACGCACTATTATAATGGCCTATATAATCTCAATTGTTATTAGCTAGCGTACATAGAAATGTTTATAAAGCGCCGATATACGTGAACTTAAAATAATCGAAGTAAGATATAATACAAACCTTCGTCCCTGGTTGGGCTTGAACCACCAACATTTCGGCTGCGCTACAGAGACAAACAGTCCAACTGCAGAAAATTAGCAATTTGTTCATATCCACCATCCAAACTTAACATGTTAATCACTTGCTTCTTAAGAACTCAGCAACCCCCATTTCACGAGTCCAGAATTAGGCAGAAATGTAGTATATAGCAGGGGCGGAATTCAGAGATGCCCAAAAGGGGGGCCGAAAGGGGGCCAATAGTTGGGCCGATCGAGACAACACAGCCTTAGGGGGTCCGGGGGCACGCCCCCGCGAAATTGTTGTGTTCTGACGCCCGAAGTACATAGAAATGTTTATAAAGCGCCGATATACGTGAACTTAAAATAATCGAAGTAAGATATAATACAAACCTTCGTCCCTGGTTGGGCTTGAACCACCAACATTTCGGCTGCGCTACAGAGACAAACAGTCCAACTGCAGAAAATTAGCAATTTGTTCATATCCACCATCCAAACTTAACATGTTAATCACTTGCTTCTTAAGAACTCAGCAACCCCCATTTCACGAGTCCAGAATTAGGCAGAAATGTAGTATATAGCAGGGGCGGAATCCAGAGATGCCCAAAAGGGGGGCCGAAAGGGGGCCAATAGTTGGGCCGATCGAGACAACACAGCCTTAGGGGGTCCGGGGGCACGCCCCCGCGAAATTTTTGTGTTCTGACGCCCGAAAATAACATTTGAGGCATCCTGGGCTATCATTTTTTTCTTTTTCTTTCTTTTTTCTTTTTTTTTTTAATCTCCCAAAAGGTGGGGGGGGGGCCCTAAATCCGCCCCTGTATAGCATAGTAAACACATTTTCCCCTCCCTTTTCGTTACTTCTTATTATGTGCCAAAAAGTATTTAATTTTCTATATTCAAGTGCATTTCAGAATAGGTGGCTTGTCTGAGCTAATTAAAAAAATGATTTTTTTTTCTTTCCATATACCATTATATTATATTATATATAGTCATGTATATATACTATACCGGTATATGCTACCTAATCGAATGTTGGTTTTGTCATATTTTGAATGTTTCTCTACAAGTCACCGTTTTATTTATATTTATATTAATCTTTCAATTGCCTAGAATAATTGCAGACATGCGTTTTTTCTCTGTTCATTAAAATTTTTGCCATCAGTATTTACATTTGAATGTGGTGGTAGTTTTGATTTATTAAGAACCATTGCTTTTCTCGTTGTTATTTGTATTAAATAATCTTTACAGTACCTTAGGCACTTTATATCTAGAATGTGCTGGAGATCTTCAGTTTCTGTTTACATTGCTATTTCATCAGAATACCCTAAATCAAAAATACTCGCCTAGAACCACAAGATATAACTCTCGCAGACCAAAAGTGAAGCTGATATACGTCATAAATTGTTTACGCAGATCCAGACGTACGCAGCGCCCTTCCGTTTACAATAATATCCGTATTCGTCTGGTCGTTCTACGTTAAACCACGCCCACCGGCGCAGTGGTAAAATCCTTCTTAACGAAGACGACTAGTCGAATAGAAAACTGGTAAATACTCGACAAAACAAAATGGCTGCATAGTTACCGCGATACACGCTGTGTAATCAAGGTTGCTTCAGCTTGTGGCAGTATGGGTTTTAGTCTACAATTATTTTTTTAATTTATGTGGGTAAATATAATTTTTATTTTCTGAAATTTAATCTAAAGTACATTAATGCAGAGGTTGCTGCTAAACTGACCAATCGGCCATGTTTGTTTTGGTCAAGTGCATTAACGCACTCTAGTTTACCTTAATTGTCAACGAAGTCTAGTTTACGAACCAGTCGAATGAAAATAATACTCAACAAAAAAAAAATCGTAGTCAACGAAATGAACTAGTCGAGAACTAGTCGAATAAGCCCAATGACAATTTACGTAAGTTTGTATCCAGACAAGATCCAGACGTGCGCGGCGCCTCATTTATTGGGGTGCCGCGTGCGACTGCATATAAACAAACTTACGTTGGTACAGTTTATCCACAATGCAATTCGGTGATGTAAGTATTTTTCTGTGGAGAGTTCTATCTTTTGCTATAGTATCTTTGCCCAAATGCTCATGACACAGGAATTTAGACCTATTCACTTATTTTTCAGCGAATTACCAAAACAATCCTACTCCAATCGAATATTACAGACATCAACGTTTCATGGACTGTTTGATGATATTCTGACTTCACCAAGTTTGAAGCCAAATGACGACAATGTCAGTGATGAGGAGTTATCGCACAGTACGAGTATGCATCTGAATTAAACATTACCCATGAGATGGAATGCGTACAGTTGTTTTGTTTTGTTTTTGTGTGTTTTTTTTAATTTACTTTAATTTTTTTTTGCAAAATATTTATTTAGGATACAAATAATCCAGTTGACGAATGAAAACAAATAATAATTCAGAATGGTGTACAGGTACCGGAATGTCGAAACTGAAGAGCTTCAAGTTAAATGCTTTAAAAGATCTGTTGTTAATTAATTTTGAAAGCAGTTACAGATGTTGATTCTTTGTAACTCTGAAGCAAAGGAGAATTCCTACAGCGTGCTCCTACAATTTTAAATGATTGTTCCATCTTCGTAATTTTTGCTTTGAGAGAAACACTATTAAAAGTAGTAGCTATTCGAGTATACTGGCCATGTACATCATACACTAAATCAACGTCATTTGAAAGACGACGGTTCCTTGGTTCACACACGGACACTCGGAAGCAAGAAAGTAACAGCACAGGCATGTCAAAGCGTTGATTGCGTTTGCACCAATACGCGCCTAAAAGTTTTCCATACTAAAACATTGTATGTAACCTGTGTGATGTACCTATATATTGGTATGATAATGTCATATTACACCCAAATATGGGCATACAACATATATTTTTCACATAAAATTTGATAGTGCGGACGGAGCTTTAACATTATACAATTGACTGCAATGCATCATGGACAAAATCATCCAATCTTAAATCCAAATAAGGAATGGAGAGTAGTTTACCACCTTTATATGTTGGCCTATATGGTATGTTTTTCAGGATAAAAATAAAGATGGTGCCTTGTTCACAGAGAGCCACTTAACTAACTACGATACAACTTTATGGTAATACAGCTAAAGAATTTCTCATTATAATAACTTTATAATAACATTACAGATTTGAGGTTCAAAATGTTTTTTTTTTTTTGTTTTTTTTTTTGTTTTTTTTTGTAGAGGCACAAGTGCGTCGAAATAAAGTTGCTGCAACGTCACCACAACACTCGTGCATGTTACAACAAGGTTTTGTGTTTGCTGGGAAAATGTTAATTAAGTAATAATTTAATTGTGAAGAATTGAAGTGTATCATATTCAAATAAAATGAATTCGACAGTTTTTGTAATAAGGAATTGACAGATACATTTATAAAAAAGAATTAAGATGCAGTCAGTTCACATGCTATAAACTCACAAAAATGCCCATGCGCATGTAAGATACTCGAAATCAGCTTACTAGTAACTTTAAATCTCAGATCCACAGACAATTCGTACTGTTGGAAGGATGAAATAAATATAGTTCTCCTGTCCTTAAGCTAAGGGGTGATATGAGCCTTCATTCATATCTTGATATCGACGAGGGCGTATCCTTATGCTTCGGTTAGGGTGCTGGCTTGGCATGGAACTTTCATTTTTATATTTGTATTTTTTCACATATCCAAGATTCACTGCACCTTATTTTACAGCGCATAGAGACCTTTTGTATGTTGCACTTTATAAAACTATCTACCATTAATCATTTAAAAAAATGCTTGCGAACGAATAATCGTTGTAGTAGTTTTACTGAAAGATTTTTTCTTGTAGTAAAAGTGTGTAAATAAGCGAAAACTGAATTTGTGTTTTATTGGAAGTTTTGTTTTACCTTTTCAATCATATCACAATTGTATATCTATTCATCACCCAAATCTCATGCATGTACGCTATTTCTATTTTTTTGTTTACATTTGATATTTAGAATAAGATAAGATTTCTAAATAAATAATTAACTGTTCTGAGATCAGCAGAACAAGTGGTTTTCATTGACTACCTAAATAGTTGACAAGCTTCAACCGTAGAATATTAGAGCAGAAATTAAACCCAAATAATTTAATTAAAAAAAATATTAGTATTTTAAATAGGCCTATTTATATAATTTTTAAAATTTAATTTATTATGCAAATAGGAAAACTCATATTTTCTTGCCTTTTTTTATAATTATTTATTTACTTAACGTGGCATTCCTTATCTTTTTTAATTACAATTAATTATATACGATTACTTAGTAATGCTAGACCAGAATGGAGATCGCGCAGAGAAAGTGGCGCAAAGTACATTCCGCTAAGCCCCGCCCCATGGATATTGTTGCTACCACATGCGCGTTGGACATGTGCGTATTCCTGATACTGTTCTGATTCGTCAGTTATTAAGTTGATTGGCACTCTGGAAGGGTCAATTATTTATTTACTTAACTTGACTTTCCTTATATTTTTTAAATTATAATTAATTATAATATACGATTATTTAATAATGCTAGACCAGAATGGAGATCGCGCAGAGAAAGTGGCGCAATGGACATTCTGCTAAGCTCCGCCCCTCGGATATTGTTGCTACGGTCTCTGAAGACGTACGACAGTGTTAAAACATACACTAACATGTGCGTTTGTGGTGGGACAATACATGTGCTTGTTGCACATGCGCGTATTCCTGATACTGTTCTGATTGGTCATTTATTAAGTTGATTGACCTCTGGAAAAGTCCATTGGTCACAATAAAACTAGTATCAACTGAAAAATGTTAACAATTGATTGTAAAAACGCCATCAACCATGTGAACTGTAAAAAGATGATGAAGATGAAGATGACAAGATAAATGACGTATAATATAATATATATCTAACCAAGTAGTGGAAGCAATTAACAGTATGACAGGAACAATGGCTAAAGTATGTTTCTCTGATTCTGAGACAGGTTTGTTTAAAATGAATTCTTGATTACTATAAACAAGGCATTCATTTTCTCCATTTGCTTGGGTATGACAGGTAGAACCAAACTTAGAATAACTACTTCTTAGTCTTTATTTATTTTATTTATTTATTTACTTTAAAAAAAAATTTGTATTTATTGATTGATTGATTTATTTTAAATTGTAGAATGTAGGCCAACTCTTAGAGAGTAGTGGTTAATATTCTGTTTTGTTTTGTTTGTTTGTTTGATTTGCTAAAAACTGGAATGCAATGTAAAAAATGTAGAAATGCAATATTGATAGATGCTACACGCGACAAAACTAGGAAGATGTATAGTATGCCAGTTATCTAACTTTCTTTACTGTTGATAAATTAAAATACTATCAATATCGATTGAAATATACACAAATCTACTTAATGACTGTATGAAAGGCAAATTGTAGATCAATGGACGGAAAATATACTATCAATTCGATAAAAGCGATTTCGTCATGAATACTAACCTAAAAAATGAGACGCATTCGGAAAATATTTACAATAGTATTGGGCTTAGCAATATTTCTAACACTTATTGATGAATTATTTTGTAGACAATTTCTGTGTGAAACGCCAAAACGACAGTATCTAATTGATCTAATGTCGACTACGTTGAATGCAAAATCGATTGCTATAAAGCAATAACCTTTCTGATGTTTTGAAAACGATATAAATATGATTATTATGCTTGATCACCAGTGTAAACATATAGGTATATTAGGATTAAAAAAAGTACAGGGTATCATTTATAAGGACAATTCGGTACGCATGCGTATTTAAAAATAATAAAGTTAAACGTAAAGGGCGCTGTGAAGTAGCTATATATTTTGTATACATACAAAAATGGTTCCTTCTTAGCCAATAAATGGAGCGTTGGGTCAAGGTTTATGAATAATGCAGATATGTGTCCATGCCTAGAAATGAATTAATCGATTTTAGAAGTAGTTAGCATTGGTGGTACTCTAATTTAGAATCATCATAGCAACTTTCGCATAGAATTTAATTATGTTGTACGTTAAAACAGTAATTACTGGAGTAGGCCTACCTTAATGTTTATTTGAAACTTCCTGTTCACATAAATATAGTTGAGAGAACAACATTGAGAATTACGTGGATGTAAGAAATATGTCTACAAATTCAGAGCCAGAAAATCAACAATTAGAAGAAGAGAGAAGTAATTCTGCCCAAGATAAAGATAAGGAGAATGATTGCAGTGCAAATGAAGTTAGCGGTGCAGATAACGCAGTGGATGATATGACCGACAAAAAGGAGACAGAAGGAGAGCAATCAAAAGAAAATGATGGTAACCAGGAGGAGGAAAAAACAGACAAAATTACGAGTATACATACAGATAACGGCCAATCAGAGAAGGCAGACGGACAGGATATTGATAGTAATAAGAATGATGTTTCAGAAAAGAAAAATGAAGAATTATCGGAAAAGAAAGACAATGATGTCTCAGAGGTCAGTGGAAACAAAAATGATTCAGAAAACGACGACAAAGTGACTGAAAAGGGTGATAGAGACGTGAACGAAAAAGAAAAAGAAGACTCAATGAATCAACAAGAGATGAAAAATGAAAAGGTAACATTTTTTAACTTATGTCTTCTTTATTTAGTCAATGCGCTCTTTAAACCAAAGTTGAGCACTTTCTTAAAAAATATAACAAGGATAAAGCATAAAGCTATAAGTTTATTAGTGTAACAGCAGAAAATAAATGCCCCTTTAAAACACCACAACAGTTTTTAAGCTCAATACCATTTAGACAATGCTCAGCTGATTTTATTATACAAAAGTCTATGGAAATATACATGTTTCGGCAGTATATCTGCCATCGATATCTTCACTGTAGTGATTGTTCTCATGCAACCTTCTTTACAAATGAATGGAACAACTGCGATATATTGTATTATAAATAAAGAGGGATTGAACCATAACTACTTAAAACAACAACATGACCTATTACATTTTAAAGGATCGATTGAACCTTAACAGTAAACGAGAAGGAATGAATGGCATGAATAAAGATGAAGAAATGAAATAATGAACATCAGAATGACAAAGTTAAATTAACATGTACATGTGCTTGTCGAGAGAGGGATTATCCAATTAGTATATTATAAAAAACATGAAGTGTCTTTTTTTTGGTTTTTATTTTTTGCATTATGCCGTTGATGTGATGCCAACAGTAGGCCTACCGTCATAGATATGTCATTGGGCCAAATGCACACATTACATTTTGTTATGTTTGTATATCCTAGATCGACCATGATTGTCAACATTATGAACATTATATCGAGCAATAAAACGCTACAGTGTATTTCACACACATTGGCGCACACTGTAAAATGCGTAATTATTCCTTGAAAAGAATTCTTCTGGTAATAAAACCTGACAATCCAAATAGCACACACTGTTAATATTCTGTATGTATATATACAATATTGTAGCTCCACTATTATGTCTGTTATTATTATGAAGTTATTATTAAGAAGTGTTGTCATATAATTTTCGTATATTCATTGCAATAAATTACATATATACCATTGAAATCAATAATAAACGCTGCATTTGTCCTTGATATATATACATATTGACAGGTGAAAGAGAAGAATAACAAAGCTAAGCAACCACAAGACAAACAAACATACGAGTTCATCTCAGCCATCGTTAAATCGGTATGACTATTGGTATTTTGTAGTAGGTTTACAGTCTTAGAGCAATGGAGCAACAGTAAATCGATGAATAAACAAATTTTTGGGTTCGTCTGCATTAAAATTTTAGCTTTATAGACCTAACATGTTTCTATCAATTGCATGCATATACACATAATAGCTGATGGCGCTAATCATACGAAGAGCTCCTTACACGCAATTATTTCATTCACATTCTTTACCAGTTTTTAATAAACGTAGCTGACCTAAATTATGCGCCAGCTACTTTATATAACGAACAAGGGTGATTATACATTTTTCCATAAAATTAATTAATTTAAGACAAACTTAATACAATAATAATTAATTAGTAATGAATGTATATAAATAATAATAATAATAATAGTAATAATAATAATAATAATTATTATTATTATTATTGCTGCTGTTGTTTTTTTTTTGTTACCATGGTACAACCTAAACAACTGATGCTATGAATTACCATTTTACCTCTCTAGTCAATGAAAGACACGTTCGTGACCGTACTCGAGCAGTTGGAGGCAGTCCAAGTGTCATTGGGTCAGCTACGGCATCTTATGAAAAGAGCAGAGAAAAAAAATTCTTTTGAAGACACAGCTGATTTAGAAGAGGTAGGTAACTCTACTACTAAAATAATCTTCATCATCATCATCCTCATCATCAACATGATCATTATCATCATCATCAGAGTATGCAGCAAGATGATCATCACCACAGTCACCACTTAGTACTTTAAATATCGACAACTACCAACATGATGAATACTACCACCACTAGGCTACTGCCACTACTACTACGACTGCGACTCAACTACTACTCCTATTACTACTCCCTACTACTACCTACAACTACTACTACTACTACTACTACTACTACTACTACTACTACTACTACTACTACTACTACTACTACTACTACTACTACTACTACTACTACTATCACTACCACTACCACTACCACTACCACTACCACTACCACTAACACTAACACTACAACTACCACCACCACTACCACTACCACTACCACTACCACTACCACCACCACCACCACCACCGCCATAATAATAATTATAATAATAATAAAACAGTAAATAAAGAAAAAAATAAAGGAAAGAAAGAAAAGTAAACGATAAATGAATGATATCAGATACATGTATTGATTGAAAACTAGCGAGTACTTTCGGGTACGTCTTAATGAAGCCATGATAGCTTTTAAAACATTTAACCTGTAACCTTTCGCTATCAAAGTGATTGTTATACCGCTGGGCCAACTATTACGTGAATGTTTTAATTGTAAATGATAATTCTCTTCAGCAGGAAATGCCACCAAACAAGATAAATAACACAGAATCTTTAGCGACTATGTCAACAGAAGATTCGTCAAAAACAACAAATACCGGACAAGAAACATCAGAAGTTGACGACCAAGTAACACATAACAATGAAAAGACAACGCCAACCAGTGATTCATATGATAAACCAGCATTACCAGGTGGCACATCTGAACCTACTGAAAGCAGGCATGATACCAGCTTTAAACAAGAGGCCCTTGTGGGAAATAACAAATCTGACACAGAGACTGAGATAAAAACACCAATGATATCAGATAACCAGCAAGAAGCATATAACAACACAAAAGAAGAAAATGCTACATCAGGAAGCAAGGAAGGAGCACCAGAGGAAGATGCAGAATCACAAGGAATAAATCAAGAAGCACTAGAAGATAAACACACATCACCTCTTAACAATCAAAGTACACCAGAGGAAACGCAAACAATACCAGGAAGCAAACCGGTAACATCTAATGACAATTCTGAAAATCTGGAAAGTAAGTTAAAATCTAGAGACGAGAAAGTAGAAACACAAGAAGATAATTCTGTAAAACAAGAAGAGACTCCAGATGACAGATCAGGGACACCAGGTAGTAAACCTAGAACACCAGATAGTAAGCCAAGGATATCAAGTAGCACTCCAGAAACACCCGGAAGTAAACCAAAAGCACCAGATAATAAGTCAAAAACTCCAGAGACTGATGATATTGATGCAGAGGTAGCTGAAACTATAGCACAGCCAGACGATGAGACAGTTCAACAGACAAATACAGGAAAAAATGCTGATTCGCCTTCCCCGGTAGCTCATAATCCTCAAGCGCCTCCAGGCAGACGATCAAGTCGACTAAGAGGGAGAGTCAAGTCTAGGTGTGCATCCGTCAATTCTTCGTCTTCAAGAAACAATAGCGCTCAGTCCGTACACAGGCAAACACCCTCTAAACCATCTATTGCAAAAGCAGATGATGGAAAAGACGACTCAATCGAACGACAGCATTAGTATCGACCAAGCAGAGAAAAGAATGAGATGGCAAATGACGCAATGTTACAACACAGACTATTAAAAAGATATACCCATGACCATGATCGTCGTCGTCGTTTCCATTATCATCATTACCTAATAATCATCATCACAACAACCACTACAAGGTTGGATTTGTTATTCAATTATCCAGTCCTATAGTAAAGCACTTTATCTGTATTGCTTTTTTCTCTACCCTGGTGTATAATTGAGTGCATGGTGCCGGGTAGCCTGCTCCTGTGCCAACACTTATGTGGTATAAGAAGTGGTATTTTTTGTACTTGAGTGAAAGGAAGACTTTTGAACAAAATTAAAAAAAAAAAAAAAATAAAAAATGCCGACCCGATTTTTTCGAAATTTTCGAACGGTCGCTAAAGGCAACACAACATTTTTGGCCTAAATAATATAAATAATAATAACAATTAACAAATAAATAATAACAGAAAGACAGACAGGGGTGAAAATAAATCCTCCAAGACGGAGGTAAAAATGTATAGGATATATTTATGGGTCTAAGTATTGGTGAGGCAAATGTATTCTTGTTTTACTAGAGAAGAAAACAATTGAAATTGTAATGTAATTTAGATTATTACCGTAATGTGAACCATAATAAAAACTTCGAGTCATCTGCTCACTGAACGGTTCACAACACACCTTAAGACAGTAAATGATTCTTACAAAATCGACTATATAATATGAATGGTATTATTTGGCAATCTGGGGCTCTCGGATTGTAAAACTAGATGTTTTAAGCTTCATCTATACATTCTTACAATTATTGCAAAATTGAGTGATCATTCCTGCTTCTGCTCAACATAACTCTGCAACGATAGCTCGCTAAACTTTAGGGTGAACGGTCAATTGTAGCTCATAAATTAACTTTTCTTGCCATGTACATGTAAGTTTCATGCTGGTTGGTAAAATAACCAGTGATCATTTTTAAAAAACATTTGGTATTCAGAACAGTTTTTACCCTGTCTATGAATGACGTCACGCTTTTTAAACCAATAGCAGGTAAGAATTTCGAGTTTTCTGCGGTTAGTGCGTTCATGCATACGATGTAAGTCAAAGTTACTGAGCTTTTGACCAAAATAGGGGAACATTTTTCATTATGAATTCCTTTGAGCATTATCAATACAGCACGTAATGCGAATTCTTTCAATGTAGGCTTACAGCACTGCAAAACCACTGTATATATTGACATAGACTTCTCATAAAATTTTAATGTATTAATTTAATATTCGTAGCTATTGTGTTCGAATATAATTATTACTACAGCTCGATAATTATAATTACTAATAGTATAATTCTTTTTGTCAACAATAAACCTACTCCAACTCTATTGTGTGAATATTACAGGTGCAGAAAGGGACATTAAACCGATTATGTCATTGGAAATTGCATTTGGTACATATTTATTGCTCTAAATGTTCTAGATGAAAGAATTATGGTACAATTGTCTTCCTTATTACTTCTGTATGCAGCAACAAACTCCAAACATCAAGGAGCCATTCGAAACAAATAACACAAAATAAATAAAGGAAAGATTAATGAGAGCTATTATTCTGTTGCAATTGCATTTATGTTGTAAAGATTATGATAATGTGTATAGCAGTTAGATGATGTTTATAATATGCTGAAAATGATTTCGTCTATGCTGCATTAAAACAATGGGTATGATAATAATGGATGATGCTTATGATGATGATGATTATGATGATGATGATTATGATGATGATGATGATGACTATGATTAAGACTGTAATTTCATAGTTCACTTGTTTGGAATATAATGCCAATAAAGCTTATCTTATCTTATTTTATAATGATGTTGGTGATGATGATAATGATGATGATGATGATAATGATGATGATGATGATGATGATGATGATTATGATAATGATAATGTTGTTGATGATGTAGATTATGACAGTATTGATAATGATGATGTTAGTTATGATGATGGTGGTGATAGTGGTCACTGGTGGTGAAGATGATGATGGTGGTGGTGACAATGATGATAAAGATAAATTTCATTAGTATGGATCATTTGCACGATCATGACGTTAGGCTAATAGGACGATGGTAAGTACTTACTTATTTGTTCGTTTGTCTTTCCAACTAATTTTCTCCATCCTTTCGATTTTTTTCCACATTTCAAAAGCTTCCAGAGCCTATATATTTCACTTTTCCCATTGTCCAGGTTTCAGACCCATATGGAGCTACACTCCATACAAGTATTTTAATAATCTTCTTTTTGAATTTACTGCCCATTCTATTTTTAGTAAATATCTTCTCTTGTTAAAAGTGTCTTTCTGAAGCACTGTTGATTGTTGATATGAATATATATAACGTAACAAATATAAATTGAGATTGTATTTCATGGATTACGAATAATTTGTTTATTTAAACATATAAAGATCAAGTTAAAGTTCATTAAAATCAAGCAACGAAAATAAGTTCAAGTTGATTAAAATCAGGCAACGAAAATACATAACAATTTAACATAAAGCCGAACACAGACATAGAGAGTACGCAACAAGACGAGACGCCAGGCGAGCGCTTAGCCTTCCATTAATCTTCAGACAGCGTCACATCGTGGCATGCAAGTGAGGGTAGAAAAAGC